CTACTCTCTCTCTCTCTCTCTCTCTCTCTCTCTCTCTCTCTCTCTCTCTCTCTCTCTCACTCCCTGTCAAAAATTTCCTTGTTCCAAGTATAAAATACCTTATAGGAAAAAAAAAAAAAAAGAAAATTAGAACAACATGGACGGATTTTGGAAGGTTCCAATTATACAACAATTCTTTACAAATATTTAAATATCTCCCGATATGATACAAACATTCGTGTAAAAATTCTATTTTAATTATCGACTGCATATCCATTTTCCGTGTAAAATGTCGCGTGTTAAAAGAAACCAGTTTACCGATACAATCCTCCCCGCTCGGGCTACACAAACAGAAACATCACGCCACTCGTACAATTATCGATCAAGTGTCAATACACCGAATCGATATCAAAACTATTCACTGTTCTTTCAGCGAACAAATAACCACCGATCTCCTTCGTCGCGCACGTCGATGTATAGATCCAGGCGCGACGGTGTCAATGATGGTGAAAAATGGAAAATAATTTCCACGGGTAATTTCGTAGGATTTTGGATCGGAAGTTATGCTCAATCGGTGCATTCGGATGCAAAACTCTCGAGGTCCACGTAATGTCCGTTCATGTTGTCCTCGAGAAGCTGGGCCAGATCCCTTCTCAGCGTCTGGAATTCCGGCCTCCTGTCTGGATCGGCGTGCCAACACCGGGATATCACCCTGAACAGCTCGCTTCGACAGTGCGAAGGCCTCTCCAGTCGATAACCGTTCTGCACGTTCCGCATCACTTCCCGTGCCGTCATGTCCGGGTACGGCGTCGAACCTGTAAACCAAGAATTTGTTCCTGTGTCGAGCCGATAACGAAATCGATCTTTTTTTAAACTCAGAATCTCAGATTTCGTTCTATATCTTTCCAAACTGATTACATCGAAGGCATTCTTGACACGATTCTTTTCCTTTTTTTATCGTAAAGAAGATGGAAAGTCACCAGAGTCGACTAAACCTAATTTAAAGATCTTTTCATCTAGCGTGTGAAAAGTTGTCTTCCTCGTAAATTTAGAATAGAAATTTAGAAATGTAAAACTTTGCAGAAGTTGAAAGTTATTACAAGAAAGAATTCTTCTTAATAAAGTGGATGGGATAAATATCGAGATTAAAAAGTAATGGATGTATGCATACCCAGGGTGACAATCTCCCACATCAAGATTCCAAAGCTCCACACGTCCGTTTTGGTGGTGAAGAGCGAGTAGATCAACGACTCGGGCGCCATCCACCTTATCGGCAACGCGTTCCTGCCATGTCTCGTCTCGATCACCTCTCCATCCCCGTCCGCGAATCTGGACATGCCGAAGTCGGCGATCTTGCACAGCTTGTTGTGGTCCACGAGCACGTTCCTCGCGGCGAGATCGCGGTGGATGATCTGCAAAATCGAATAAAAACACGCAGGCTCGATCAACATTCTTCTCCTCCGTACAAGCTAGTGACCGCAGGTGGATGTTCTGTTACGCAACCATCCAACCGTACCGCATCACGCGCACAGTGTCGAGTTAACAGGACGCGCGAAATCGAATCCTCCCGAGACCGATCCCGAGAAAAATTCTTGACCCTTTAAGACCGATTTATGTACACCGATTTAAATAATCGTAACCGAAGGACGGACAGATTTGACGAGATGGTCGACTATGATGCGGATAAAACTCGTGCATTGCTTGGAAAAACTATTGCCAATTTTTTCTAATATTGCAACAATCTTTACAATCTTATTAGCTATTGGACGTATTCCAAATTTTCATTTTTACGAACGCTTCCATTCTGCGAGCGTGGACGACGAATATTGGAGCGCGCGGTAAAGAAAATATTCACGTTTTGCGTTATAAAAACTTGACTTCTTAGTACACGTAACTTATCGTTAAGGATGACAGACGTACGGCGAGAATTGGCCGGTTATTTGCCCACACTCGTCCGCAAAGGGTTAATCTGATCGATCTGGAAAGAGAGAATCCATATGGCCCAGCATTATCTACTATCGATAATCGTGGGCAGACAGATATTTGAGCGATTCGACTTTACGACACTCGGATTTCGCGTTGTTGCTTCGTAATACAGCAGCGGCGGACACGTTATTGCATATTATTTATCGCTGCGGCTGATTTATCGCGTGTTCGCCTTACTGTTACCGTCGCCGCGGAAGCTGGTTTTGATTTATTTTACGTTCGAACGTGGCCATGGCCATCGTACGCTTCGATTGGAAATTGCTCGCCCCGTGAAATTTAATCGTGTCGTTTCGATTATAAGAATCGAGGCGATGTTTCGATCGTGTTAAAGTAATAACAGATTCGTACGAAATTCTTTGCGAAACGTGGAGAAGAACGTTTGCACAGAAGTGGGAACATCTTATTAGCTAGTTGATGATTCAACACCAATCGTTTCGTATTGAAATTCTCGTGATTGAAAAAATTCTTCGACGGTTTATAATTCTCGAGAAGATTATTTATTAAGGCGACAATAAGAGGAATAATCAATTGGCCAGCCGAGAGATCCAACGAATGGGCCCGTTCAACCGTGGCCAATGCTAATGAACTTGCGGGTGCTCAGTGTCAAGGCGGACTGGATGTACACGCGTCTCTGCTCTTGCGTTCCTTTAATGACTTCATCTTCTAGATTTATAGCGCGAAGCACGAAAAACTCGGACGCGACTCCATTTGTCGTCGTGCGTTTTTTGCAACATTTCACGTTGGATGAAAAATATATTTTCAAAGACCATGTCGCGTAAAAGTATTTATCGCGTATCCTGCTGCTGCTACCATGCTGTCGTTGGTATTTATAAACGTGACGAGCGTGTCGCTTTGCTACTCGAACGTGAACTATGGAAATATTATTATTTATATCGACAATATCTTGGTCGAGGGATCGAGAATTGTAGCTGAGATGATAATAAATATCTATTTTCGTTCTTCAATGGATCTTCTGATGAACTCGTTTCTTCTCAAACATCGATGACGAATCGAACGATGATGATGAGTCTATTTTAACAATTTTTTAGAAATCTAATTTCTGGAAAAATTTTATGGTATGTGTGTGAGCATCCTTGAGAAATGGAATATTCGTCAGAATATCGATGTGTATATATATATATATATATATATATATATATATATATATATATATATATA